CGCTTCGGCGGGGCGAGGGGCGACCCTGCCGGACACACTCCTGCCTGACCCCTCCGGCTGCTGTCCTGCTACGTTGGGTTCTCCTTATTTTAGCAAATGTTAAGGCAAATTGTACGTGGGGTCGTAAAATCACCCGTCCCCTCCGAGCAACCCGGCCAAGGCACTGATGCCCGGGACTTGCCGGGGCAATGGATGCCCACGGCTGACTGCACAGCCTCGGCGCCGCTGCCTTCTGCTTGCTTGCTTGCCCTAAATCGCCACTGCCAGGCGTTAACGGTGGGAGACTGTGCCGGTTGCAGCGTGGAGCCAGAGCCGAGCGCTGCCCGGGTGGGCTCTGCCTGCACGCAACCAGTGGACCGCTGGGCCGCTGCACTGCCACGAACGCCGGCCGCCCATGAACCAAGGTCTGGAGAACACCTCTGGGCGGGCAGCCAGAAGCTTGCTGCCTTCCCTAATCTCCCATCTCCTGGCATTTCTGAAGTGACCCTCGGCACGCACGTGCTGCTGCCGGGGAGCCTCGGCGCTGGGGGCAGAAACGCTCTATTAAGTTACAGCACAGGCCACAGGAATGCCAGCCAGCACCTCATCCAGCACCTGGACCGGCCGCGACAGTCCCAAGGTCAGTGGGTGCTTACGCCGCATTGCCCCTCCAGCCCTGGGGCCCCGCCACAGCCCGGAAGCATGGGCAGCTCCCGGTAGCAACAGATCTTTCAGTTACTTAGATAGCAGTCAATTCGGTACGGCTATTTTTGAAAAAAAATTCCTTTCAAGCATCTTGTCAAAGCCCACACACTCTGTCGCTATGGTAGTCAAGGCCTCATTCGGCACTTAGATCCCATCATCGGGTAGCCGAGGGACACCTCACCCCCAAATCCTTACTGTACACATTAGCCTGAAATACAAAGGGTGTTTTATCTAAACAAGTTGCCCAGCAATGGTGGCTATTCCTTTTCCTTTTAAAGCAAAAACCACCTTCCTCTGCCTTACCGCTTTCCATCGTCAAAAAAGGCAAGGTGATACCCCATTTATTGCAGAACTGATAAGCCTATCTCATAGTGTAAGGAATTTGAGTATTGATAGTGAGGTGCAGTTTAATAGCTGATGACTCAAGGACCCATAGTTTCTCCATTTTATAAGCGGTTATTGATACAAGACAGTTAATTGTAGAAGATACTGCAGAACACGATATACTACAGCACCACATTCGGATTGCAATTATAAGTAATAAACACATTAATTCAGGGAGCTGGAATAGATCTGGTACTTACAAATCATAGTCCTCCCTATGTCGGGAGAGTTTTCTTAGGTCTACAGAAGCATGGAGATGCTGAAAAGTAAAAAAGGCAATGTGTTACTATAGAATTTTACGTCAGCGCCATTTATTAATTATCCAAATGGTATGAGAGTTGGCAAGATAAATGTAATAAAGATCAGCATTAAAGAAGCATTTAGAAGTTCATCCTCCACAACTAAGTGGGCATGATATAGCCAGAATCTTTTTCTATCCCCCCCCCCCCCCCCCAACATTAGGATCACGTTTTACCCCCATACAATCAGCATACCACTTTTAAAATTAGCAGATGGTAGCTTTTTTTGATGCTGCATGACTGTTTTCATTGCTGCTTTAATTTGGGCTGATCCCCCTTACTAAGAATTTTACTGCCTGCTCTTTCAGGGCTCGTAATGAGTAAAGGAAGGAATTGCAATGATTAGCAAAGCATATCTGTGTGTGGGCATGCAGATGCCTTAAAAAGCAGCATCACTGTAGAACTTCGACTTTATAATTAATTTCACCCTTAAATTCCTGCATGATTTATCCTCTGAAAGACAGCATTTAATTATAGTCTTGTACCAGTATCCAGATACCAAGTAACGCTGACACAATTGGAGCAATTAATTGGAATTTCCTCTTTCAGATTTGAATATATGGAAAACAAGTATCATACACGCATCTTTGTTTCATCTTTCTGTAATGTTCTTTGTCTCACGGTACGTGGTTCCGCATCTGGCATCCCCGCTTGCGGCTTTCACCATCCTCTCCTCCACGTGGAGGCTGCCTCGTTGAATAAAGTTGATAGATACTGAGACAAGGGGAGCCGCACGTCAATACCTTAAGAGCCAATTTTCCAAGAGGCTATTCACACTGAGCAGTGCCTCCTGCACCGACAGGTTCATTGTTAGGCAGATTCATTGCATCCCACAGATCTGAGTACAGAGTGACATGTCTGTACAATGCTGAGAGGTAGCACTGATTGGGCAACGGAGCATCACGGGTGCATTTCAGCTAGTGGCCTCAATTTCAGCTGGGGTGAACTGGCACGCCCAAGTCAAGTCAATGATGGATTTATGCCACTTGGCATGAGACCAGCGAGTAGCCCCCAGAATGCTTTGACATTTCAGGATTTTCTTCTTTACAAAGTTTAACAAGTATATGAGGAAATACCTTAAGAACTTGTTCAAAAGACCTACTCGCTTTTGCTACCTTGCAATGGCTTAATAGCCATCTTTAAAGAAAACCTCTTTACATAGTACATAGGCTCAACTCAAGTCCATGATGTGCTTAATCCTCTTTCAATGTCGCAAGTGTTCATATCTCTTCTTTTTTTTTGGACAGAGCAACAGATTCATAGCAGTGATTATTTCAAGGGTATAGACTGAGCTTCATCTACTAGTTTAGCTATCACTGATGACACAAAAGATTTTCTATGAACAACATACCCTCTTCAACTTAGAGAGGAAAAAATACAGGTTAAATGTACATTTGTCTGTGCTTGAAAATACTTTTCCTCATGGTGGTTTGCCATAAAGAATATACATGCGTTCACAGCAATGAACTGTCACTTTACATATGTGTTTTTACGTAACTAAAACCATACATGACAAGTGACTCCACTACTTACTTTAGCTGCTTTCTGTAGGACTTGCATCCAGTTTTATGTATTGCTGTCATGGGGATGGATCTGCATTGGTTTCGTCTGTCAAGAGTAAGACCTATTTGCAAAATCAACGTTTCTTTGTTACAAAGCATTTTTGAAACCGGAAGAAAATCATTCCTAGTCTTGCACTGAAGCACTTGGCACTGTTACACATGCACATAAAGTAACAAAAGGTAGCATTTTCATAAATTCTTGGGAAAAATCAGCCAGCATTTTTGAAAACAGCACGAGCGCATACGTCAGTATGTAAGACAAAGTTTTATCTACAGCAAGCTTTCATTGCACAGCATGAGACATTCTCAAGAAATTCTCTCAAAAGACCAGAAGGCTAATTGGAGTGCAGCTCACTTGACAGCATTTTCATTGGAACTACAGAAGATATGAAGTATGAGAATAATAAGTGGTAAAAAGCATGGGTCTCGCATGTGAGCACAAATGCCCTAAGAAGGGAATATATTTAACTGGGATACATAGATGAGATAGTCTGGAGGAAATGGAGTAAGGAAAAACCTCAAGCCAAACTAACTCCACATAAAGGTCAGTTTCAAATTTGCCATGTATGTAAGGGATTAATGAGGTCAAATGTTCTTAAACAACCAGGCTCTCGTATAAACTAGTAGAGTTCAAAACGCTGCCCCCAAGGCTGAAAGTGGCTGATGCCTCTTCCTGTAAATGCAGGGTGAGGTCAAAGGTACTGGACAACACAGATGTTTTGCTGTTTTAAAAAAAAAACCAATCCCCAAATTCACTGATTTCTTAGCCAACTTCTTGGGTCAGCATTAACTAGCAATTCAAAAAAAGAAAGAAAAGAAAGCCCAAACAGCTAATTCCCATCCATCTCAACATGTCTCAGAAGATGGAGATGAAAAGGTGGACACATCTGCCAGTTCATGCTGGATTGCTACCTACAGTGCAGTTTTTAAAGCTTCATTCTTCTGGCTTGTATGACATTTCCATTACTCTCCCCTGGGCAACTCCTGAATGGCTCAACACATCTCACTGGCAGGAAGAGCTTCATAATGCTCAGCTGGTGTTTTCCCTTTCCTAATTACAGCTCACTGCTCCATGCTAAGTGATTTCTTAGCCTCCGAGGGGTTTGTAGCTTTTTTCATTTGTGGAGCCTTTTCTTGGCTTCTGCCTTTACTTGATGCTAAACAAACCTGTGCAAGCATTTTATTTGTACCCTTGTAAAGGGTGTTATCAAACCAAGTCCCTCCCATATCACTGCCCGTAATATCTAGTAATTGTTTCTCCTTGCTCCAACTGATTCGTTAAGACTATGAGAAGGAACAAGGTGGAAGAAAAGTGGTTTTCCACACAGCATGTAGCAGGTTGCAAGCAAGCTGGGAGAACACCAGCCCCTTACCCATCAGTCTTGTGTGCTGTTCTGTCCATCAGCACCTCTTCTGAGTTCATAACTTCATCTCTTCAATAGTATTCTTCATTCTCCAGGAAGATGAGAGTAAACCACTGAGAGAAAGAACACATGCAAATATGAAGACTGCCCTCTCTGATGGTTCACCATGCAAACACATGGGTGCAGCATTTAGAGCCCTGACCAGTGGCCA